CTTCTCTTGATTTTTTTAGTGCACAAAATCAACATCATCTTAGTCATCATTTTCATCTTCATATCTTTTTGTTAGGCCACTACCATCAGTGGATCTGGACTGTTATAGTCCTCCAATTTATAAAGGCAAGGTCTAAAATGCATCATGTGAAGGGGTGGAGCCTCCTTTATGCAAATTTTGGGCTCTATGTTTTGGACTTTGAATTTTGTATTTTTGCATTTATTTCTTTAGTGTTTGGTTTAACTCTAAGCTCTTAGTTACAATCCAATTGATATTTGAATTAGTTAACAGCAACTAGGGTGAAAGCTGCATCCCTTTATCTAGCTTCCTTGACTCCTAACAATTTCAGAAAAACAAAATGGGCAGTAAAAAAGGTGGAGTCCAAAACTACCTGGGTGTTCAGTAATGGTATCTGTTGCAAAACCAAATTTAATTAAGGTAATGGCTTTAAGTACTGCATCAAACCAGTCACATGAGATCTTTTTTCATGAGATTGTTACCAAATTTGTTTCATAATATCAACAGCACGGAGTGACCAATGCAACTCATGCACAATGGACACTTGTAACTTTTAAGTTCATAGTTAGAACTCTCTGCCAGGCATGACAATGCAAAGACCAAACTCATTTATCAATATTGTAAGTGCAGCTCATCAATTTGTATTGAAATTAATAACTTGTGATGGTCAACTTTTTTGAATGTCTCAGTAATTCAGTGCATCTACCAAATAGTGAAATGCTGTTTCTTTGATTTGTTTTGTATGTTTTGTATGCTTTTTATTTTTTATTTTTAGGGCAGGTGAAAAGTTACTTCAAAAGTAAATAAATAAATAAATAAATCATAAACAAGTCAACAAACTAAGATATATCTTTTTTTATTTATGCAAAACACTTATATGTTTCTTGATTTTGGAAGCTTATATAAACAAAACTATTGATAGATTTATTTCCAATGTAAAACTTGTATTAAGAAGAAAATTATGCTGGCAAAGATCAAGAGTAGTGGATCATGACTTAATAAAAAGAAGAATCAAAATCTGTAAGATGCTAATTGTCTCATACTTAAATAAAAATAGATAAAATTGTGGAATTTAAAAGCATGAAGATCTTCCACAATATACGTTTCTTTGATTCGGATGTATTTTTAGAATAATCAGCTGCCTAAAAAATATTTAGCAATAAACTCCATGTATAAAATATGAGATGTTATTAGGCCAAGGCTACAATACATCATGTCAAGGAGTAAAGTGCACTTGTAGACAATTTTGAGCTATAACTCTTTTCTTGTCTAATTTGTATTTTAAAATGTTTTTAGGAAAAACAAGATGAAGGGGTGGAGCTTTAATTCTAGTCACCTGTGAATGGTGTGAATATCAATTGTTTTGAATCTAAATGCGTAGAGAAAAACCAAATAGTCAATAAGGCAGGAAGAAAAAACCAAAGAAGACCTTGAATGAGGTAAAATTCAAAGCCCAAAATTGGGTAAGCTAAAACTCAATCCATTAAATTAATGCATTAAAATCCTAATTATATATATATATATATATATATATAACAAATAAGATGATCTTTAATGTACATGAATGATGTAGTTAGGAATATTTCTCTAACAAATAAAAATAAAAGTAAAATACTCAGTTGCTATGTTATGTGATAAATTTATGCACAAAGTGCTTATGCTTGAAGTATTATGTGATGAATACTTTTGTATTTTTCCAATCCATTCTATTCTTTAAGCTAAAATTTTTTCCCTGAAATTATTCTACGCTTGTTTTGGCTCTTAGTTTATATGCCCTTAAATTTTGTTAATGTTTTTTTTGTTGCACTTACCATGAAGTCTACATTATTTTAAAAACTTTCGACTGATAATTAGTAATAAACTCTACATCATAAGAATATCATTTATACCAGAAGTAGAGGATGTTAACATTAATCACATTTTAGTGAAGTATATATAATGGTCATGCAACAAATGAATGAATCCCTCTGCACACATATAACTTTTGTACACAATAATCTCAACCTGTATTATCTACATATCAACATCAATAAAAAAATCACATATGTATTTATATATCGACACATCAAATATAAACCATGCATATTTTTGAAAGTACTTTAAAAAATAGGTTTTTTCTTCATGATAAATTATACTCAAATTCGATTTTTGTTTCAATGGATCTAAATTTAATGATCTTAAATCAGTTCAAAAGTCATGCTTATATATGAGAATTATAATTATATTGGTTATAAATATTCTATTAATTTTAAAAAAACTAAAATATATATTTTGAATTATTGATATTATAATAGAAATACATAATAAAAAATAGCAACAATTTTTATAGATTGCCGTCCTTGCATATGTTTCTTGTATGTATAAGAAATTTCTAATAAATTACTTATTTATATTATAATATTATACTATTTAATTACCAACCACCTTTTGAATTAAGACAATATAGAATTTTTGTTTTGTACAAGGGCCTTCTAGATACCACATTTCATAAGTATAAAAAACATTATAATTTTACATATATTTGAAGGAGATTTTTTATCTTCTCTACTTCCATGGATTATTATTTGAGGTTGTTTATTTATTTATTATCTTAATCATTATGGATTTAATATATCTAATGTTGTGGCCTCATATTTGGCAACTTGTATGCTTGATATTTGGCAACTTGTGTGCTTGAGGGATGGATAGACTTTTGTGTTTTAGTTATTGATGTATAATATAGATAAAAAAATAAATTGATTTTTTACCAATATTTTAAGAGTAGCTACATAGTAGAAGATTTATTATGAGATCTCTTAGGATTAATATCTAAATCATGCATTGAAAAGTATAGAAATATAAAGTTAGTATTCATACAAATGAGAAATTTGGACATGTTCAAAAAAATTAAATATATTTTTCAATTTTTTTTTCATGTAGTCTAAAGATAATGAGATTTTTTCGAAGAAGATCCCAAGTAAAAATCTTAAATCTTCAAAATGGTATGATGAGAAAAAATCAATAGTAACCACTAGCATCACATTTATTTTTAACCTTATACCTATTAATTAAAATAAAAAACTTCTTTAGTCATGCAAAGCATATTTTTAATTAACTCTTTAAATTTTAAAAGTAAAAGTATTATTTTTTACAAAAGTTATATCTTCTTTCTAAAGCCATTTATATAAATGATGATTTTTGGTTAATATTCATCCGTATGTTGAATTTTTAGATTTTTTTTATAAAAATTATTATTGAAGATATCAAATTATAAAAAATTAATATTTTAAGCAAATTTACATTATAAAATAAAGTAAGACTATCTTAGATATGGATAAGATCTTAAGAAATATATAAAACCAATATATTTTGGTATCAATTTCTTCAAATAAGATGATATTTGACATCTTCTACGTATGTAATGAATAATTCATTCCTTCATCATTCTTTTACTAAGGTGCCTAAAATATGAATGGTACTTCAAGACCCATTTCACCATTATAAAATATAACTATTTTTTTAGAATGAGATGTAAAAAAAATAAAATAAAGATATTTTAATGTTTGTCAAAATCTTTATTTTCTATTTTTAAATTTCATATTCATATACATATATAAATATATATAAAAATAATATATTTGCATCTTTTATTTTTATTTTTAGCCAATATTTTTTAACTTCTATCTTCCATCTAATCCCTTCAAAAAACAAACTATGTTTATAAATTTCTTCAAAGGCTGTTAGTTATTAGAAAAGTGCTTGACAAGGTATTCAATCCTTCAAAGGCTTTTGATTATCAATATTTTTATTTAAAGATATACACTTTTCTTCCAACAACAATTTATATTGAAATTATTCAACTTTCTTTATAGTATAACATTTTAAATAAGCTTGGCCCCTATCATAGACATACATATTTACCTAGATAAGAAGAGCTAGGTAGAAGGTAAATGTAGAAAGATTTGATATTATCTTGTGGCATAACTTCTTAAAAGCTTCATAGATGCATATTTGACTTTATACATATTTATAGTTGATTGATCGATTAGAATCTTAGCCAACAAATTAGTCATATATCACACGTGTGGATAACTTGTGGTATAAGTTAATAATATGGCATGCATATAGGAAACTTGTCTTGCAAGTTAAGATACATGTCTTGCAAATTGGATATGTATTAGAGATCTTATGTGACATTGCCATATAGCTTTTAATAAATAATATATATAGAAGCAAGAGTAAAGTCTTTTTCATTCTTATCAACGCCTTTCTAGTTCTTAGTCTTTTTCAATCTAGTATATATAAGTGCAGAGGACTTTAGATATGATGTAAGAATTGTGTGCTCTTTCATGTATACACTTATGTTCTTTGTTCAAGATTGCTGAGATTGCAAACTCATGATAACAAACTTATACAATACACAAGTGTCTTTATTCCATGCATTTCTTTTAAACTACAAACTAATATTGAAAGGATTGCATGCAACTTGATAATCATGACTTCTCTCCACATGCTCATCTCTTTGTCAAGTGCACATTTTTGTCAAATATGATGTATATAATATGCTAATAATCAACAACCTTGGAAGAAACTCACATACATAGTCTATTGTTTGGAAGAATTGGAACATGTAGTGGAGGGAGGGAAGTTGGGATAGGAGATACATGCTGAGGATGGGAATGGGGATTAGTACAAGGGACTAAGACCTACTACTTGTTACAATGGTGGGGTTGAAATAACAGCAAGTGGGATTGATTTAACATTTCCCTATTTATACACACATCACATTATTTATTTATTTTGTACTTTGCAAGACATTTTGTTTTGATATGTTTTGATTTTTTTTTTTAAATATAATTTTTGAGATCTTCAAAAGCTACACGAAGGAGAGATAAAATGACAGGAATAGGTCCTTACATCATCCATGTGAAAAAAAAAATTACTCTTCTCTCATACGAGGTTTAAAATGCAAGTAGGGTGAGAGGTATCCTCGTGACACCTACCGAGTAGACTAGCGGTGTGAACACAGTTCAAACCCTTCCGTAAGTACGCGGGCCCTACGTCACTGTCATAGAGCCCCTCCGTTTGCTCTCCCCCCCCCTTTCTGCGTCTTCTCGTAATCCGGCCGTATTTGAATTTAGCTTCGGCAGCAGGGGCGGGCTCATGCTACTCTTAACGGTCTACTGGGATCCCTGCCAAACCAGTTAAACCAGACGAAAATTACTAAGGTCGTCCACCTTCGTCGGACGAAGTTTGGGCCCCGCGCTAGTCGTCGCTTGGCGCCAAATCCAGACTTCCGCCAACTTCGGCCGCTCTCGACATTCTTCCGCTTGAATTATGGATTGGGGCGTGAATGATTCCAATGCGGATCTGTTTGTCTGGTGTCTGATTGTGTGCGGATTTTCGAGCGAGAGACCAAATTCTGCGTCATTGTGTGTTGGAATGGAAGTTTTCCGGTGACTTGCAGTGAAGTACTTGTGGTTTTCAGTATGTGGATGGTATTTGGTGTAATAATTGGCCGTGGGGCGACTTTTTGAACTTTCTCTCGCAGTTGAGAGAGGGACTCATTTCGAAGACGATACGTGCTTGCCGTGGCTTGCGATGTGTGAGTTGTGAAGGTGCGGGGTGTAAAGGTGGCAGTCGCGGCAGAGGCTTGGAGCTCAGGAAAGATTAATGCGTAGATTCGCCTAGTTATATTACGATGCCGAGCTCCCGATATCCGTCGCGTGTGCGGAATGAAGGTGGTGCAGTGCAGCCTGTGGAGAAGCGGGGGCGAAAACAGGTTGTGAAGTTAGAGGAGAGCGGGAGTGACGTGGAAGAGGATATGAAACCTGATGTTGCTCTGGATGATGTAGAGGTCATCAAACATTCGGGGACGGTGCGACGCCCTTCTCTGCGGAGCTCCACGCGCATTGCCACTCTTGCTTCTCGTCAGTCTTTGAAGCAAGAAGTTTCAGAGTCGCCCAGTCCGCAGCGTGTTCGGAAGCGAGTGAAAATTGCTGCAAAGGTGAGCGTGAAAGAAAAAAAGGTGAAAGTTAACGAAAAATCGTCGAAGCAGGCGAAGGGGGATGTCGTAGCTGATAAATTGAAAGTTGTAACTACAATCGTGAAGGTTGATAGTGAGGGGGAAGATAAGAATGGGCGTACCGATGATCCTGTCGAGGTCGTGGAGAAGGTCAACATACCAGGAACGGATAAATTAGCACAACTACTCGCGGAAAGAACTAGTTTAAGCGATGCTTTGCAAGTCAAAGCAACGATTCGAATTTTCAATTTCATGTATCTGGAAGCCATTCAGGTGTGTGCAATTCCATCGATGGCTTTTTCCGTGCGTTGAGTTGCTACAATATCACAAATTAGTTAGGATGCGGCGTGCATCGTGATATTCATCAAGTCCCAGGAAAGTCTTGTCCTGATTTATGGATTGCTCTGACCCTGGCAACTTTCGCAGGAGGAAGACAAGCGCGCTTCAGAGCTGCTAATGAAGATAGGAGAGTCTGGCACAGGCAAAAGACCCTCCAAACGTCCTGACCTGAAAGCTGTTTCCAAGGTAACACAGCAGGGATGGGGATTTCGTTACGAAATACACCTGGTTCTTTGAGAGTTAAGGGTATCTTAAGTACAATTTTTAAGAGTGATCAAGGAGATCTGACGTTGTTTCGAGTTTCAGATACTTTGATATACAACCTAGTGGTGATGATCCTTCACCTTGGATCTGAATGCTCTGTTATTCTAGCTATATTATTAATCATAACCCAAGAACTTCGTAGGAAGCAGTGCCGGGGGTTTCAATTGGCAAATCAGATGATCTGAAAGGAGGAGGAGATAGCTGAGCTTGGGTCTTTGATGCACAGATGATCGAACTTAAGGCAACTCTTAATTCCGAGAAACAAGTTGGTGCTATTCCAGGTCAAACTCTCTTTCTGAGCTCAACTTTCGTTGCTTAGGAGGTTCCAAATTCATGCAATTCTTTGAATGAATAGTTCTTTCATCCAAGTTCTTGCCTTGCACAATATCTTACTCGTGCTGTGTTATGTATATCTCCAGGTGTTAGTGTGGGTCAGCAGTTCCTTTCAAGAGCAGAGATGGTTATAATAGGTCTGCATTCTCATTGGCTCAATGGAATCGACTACATTGGAGTTGCCAAAGGCAGAGTAAGGCTTTATACAGTTAGCACTTCCGATTTTCCGCTTCTTATAATACGTTCATTGAGAACTGTTCCTTTTTAAATGAACACTTGGTTGTCAGTTTAGGCAAACAAATGTGCTTCGTATTTACTGACTTGCAACGATCTCAAAGATGTACATTTGCACCGATTATTATTTTCACCTATGAAATTCTTGATAGTGAAGCAAGCGGCGTCTTCGAGTTAAAAAGTAGATTTAAGTATGGGGCGTGGATGTTCGTCTGCAATCTGTGTATGGTTGTGACTTTGGTTGTAGTGCTTTGGCTTCATCACTCTGTGGGCGTAGCTTGGAACAAGGCGATATGTCATAAAATTTTGCTGGCTTCGTGTTTCTTGTTTATACTGTGCTTATGTTAACGTATGTGTTTTCTGTCCTAGTTCTTTTTGTGCCGAGCAAGGTTCAGAGTTGGAATCTAGGGTCGGATTGGAGCTTCTCTGATTTAATTTTGTTGTTGTGATGGCATTAGATGCCCGATGTAGAGCTTCCAATTGCTGTTTCAATTGTTATGTCGGGAGGCTATGAAGATGATGTTGACAATTCAGAGGACATGGTTTACACTGGGCAAGGAGGAAACGATCTTTTAAGCACTCGTCGCCAAATCAAAGACCAAAAGATGGAGAAAGGCAATTTAGCTTTGAAGGTACGTGGTTCCTAGGCACAAAGGCACTTGCTCCTCCTGCCAATGGATGGTTGCAATGTGAGGATGTCCTTGGTTATATCTAACTTTCTGCCAACATATCTCTGCTACTCTTTCGAATAAATTGAAGTTTAGTGCCTCGTCTTTTCTACTGATAATTGATTCCCCAAAATGTGGTTGTACAGAATAGCATGAAGTGCCGACTACCTGTCCGTGTCATTCGTGGTCATGCCGACAAAATGAGTTACACTGGCAAGGTTTACACCTATGATGGACTGTACGAGGTAAGTCTTCTGCTTTTGAACGTTGGAATCAAGATGTTTGAACCACTTTGATCTTTACACTGACTTGGGATTATCTTGCTATATTAAAACACGTTTATTTGGAATTTGGAAACTGTACCGTGGACCATCTTAGAATGCATTGTGATTTACGTCTTCATCGTAAGGGCACACTCCTAACACTTGCCAGACCTTCAATGATGCGCGATCATACTCCCACTTTTTTGGTGGCACTGAATCTATTGGTCTCCAACCCGGAGTGCCGTTTTCAGAGTGGCTCAATTTTGTTGACGCGTCTCCTATTTTTGGAAATTTAACGGTTTTGTGAAGCGTTGCTGAGAATTTTAGATCCGGAATGCAGGTTTACGGTCACTGGGCTGAAAAGGGGATTTCTGGGTTTACAGTGTTTAAGTACAAGCTTCGGCGTTTGCCTGGGCAGCCAGTGCTCACTAGCAAACAGGTGCATATTTGCTTCCTACGAGTGGAATTCATTAATTCTGTGGTCTTTGGTGTGAGCTTTAATAGTTAGTATATGCAGTTGTTGGCGTTGTTTATCTCCTCCTTTTCATTGTGAACCGGAAATTCTCAGTAGTTGCCCGAACAACATTGCCCCTTGCAGTATTATCACTATTTCAAGACTCTTAATCTGTTGCCGGTTAGATTACCCCTGGGTTGTAATAGCCTGGTTTTGTTCTTATGGTTGCAGGTTCATTTTGCTAGAGGGAAAGCACCAGACAACGTTTCAGAACTGCGAGGGTGCTACTCTCTCACTCTCCTCCTTTTCAGACGTTCTGTACTTCAATTCTATAGCTGACTCTAGAAATTATGCAGGTGTAACACTAATTCCTTCATCCTTAATTGATAGTTCATGAATCTAAAACCTTGTACTTGTGCAGATTGGTGTGTAAAGACATCTCGAATGGGCAGGAGCGCATACCAGTGCCCGCTTCTAACACAGTCGATGATCCTCCAGTTCCTCCTACAGGTTTGTGCGTTCCCGTTTCTTTTGGCTACATGCGGAACCTTGGTTGTGGGGTTTCTATGTTTTCGTGGAATTTCGATCACAAACTCGTTTCAGTACGCTGACTCTTAATGATAACGGAGTATCAAAACTGCAATCCTCTTTTCCCAGGACCTTTGTTCAAGCCCTCCGATTTGGGGTACATCCTGCTAACAGTTCTCTGTAGACCCTAGTTGTTAGCAAGTGCACCTGACATGGTTGAATTTACCAGATTACACGTACATCACGAAGACCGTAGTACCAGACGACATTGCAAGACCTCCCCCTTCTAAAGGCTGCAGTTGCAGGGGCGCCTGTACAGAAGAGAAGGACTGTGCTTGTGCTCGCAAGAATGGAATGTCCTTCCCTTATGTTTTCAATCATGGCGGAAGGTATGCCGTTTGATTTACACTTCCTGTATTATGTTCAAATATCATGATAAGGCTTCCACTATCCAGCCCCGCATACAAACAGAAGTTTTTGTTCGTATGTTGCATAGTCTTGGTCATGTCTTCGCGATCAAGGCAGTCTGTATCAAGACTTTCACCAGTTTTTTGGTGCCCCAGTAATAACCAAGAATGGAAGTTAGGTAACTACTAGGTTAATCAGGATGTCAAAAATTCCGCCTTCTGTTTTACACAAGGATTAGATGTCAAAAAAATTCGGGATCCATTTAGGTGTCCAGCAGAATGAATGTACAGGATATGTAAACATCTTAGTCAAATTTATGAACTTGTATTTGCACATGTACACTGCAAGTTTCATCTGACATCGTGGATGCTTGGGATTTACAGGCTGGTGAAACCCATGGATGTTGTTTTTGAGTGTGGCCCTGGGTGTGGTTGTGGCCCTGAATGCTTGAATCGAACATCTCAAGTGGGGCTTCAATATAGGCTTGAGGTGTGGATACTTTCAGTGCTGTCGTAATGCAAACACTTACCATGTTTCGTATCGAAGATGGTTTTTCCTTTTTAGTATCAGGCCTACTCTGTACACAGAAAATAGTGGTATCGTAAGCTTTTACATGGTCTGAATTTAGGCAGCCTGCTAAGTAGAGCTTTCAATGGGCTTGAGTTGTGCAGGTGTACAAAACTGTTTCAAAGGGGTGGGCTTGCCGATCATGGGATTTTATTCCAGCGGGAGCACCAATCTGCGAGTACTTCGGTACTTTGAGACGGAATGATGAGAACTTGGAAAGTATGCTGGATAACAGTTATATTTTTGAGCTCGATCTACTTCAAACTATGCAAGGCATGGAAGGGCGCCAGGTATTTAATCAATATTTCCTAGATACTTGCCAGACGATGTGCATTTGGATACCAAAATTGTACCTATATTGTGTGTGTAAAATTTGCACAGCTTGAGATTGGTCCTTCCAATCCAGAATGCGGATATGATTAAGCTCTTGTGAGGAGAAATAAAAATGAAAAGAAAGAGAGAGAATGAGTCTGTACATGATGCGAATGGATACCATTATGAATTAATACGCCCGCCATTCACCTTGAGACCGTATAATAGTTCCAAGTACCTTAAATTCCTTTCACTCGCATTGCAGAAAAGGTTTGGCGATGTAATGCCGGAGCTTAGTGATGAAGACGACTTGATGATGCAAGATGCTCCCGCTTATGTTCTTGATGCTGGAAAGAATGGAAGTGTTTCAAGATTTCTTAATCACAGCTGTGAACCTAATGTGTTCATCCAATGTGTGTTGAGCCATCACAACGATGTCACGATGCCCCGAATTGTAATGTTTGCGGCAGATAACATTCATCCATTAGAGGTGCGTTACGTTTTCTCAAGAAAAATAATCTCTGCTTCTCTTCACGTTATATGCCCTGTACCCAGACTTACAATCTCTACGATATTGCGTTCTTTGTTACGCTCGTTTGACAGCTTATTGATTGCGTTCCATGGAATCCTCAGGAGTTGTGCTATGACTATGGTTACGCGATGGACAGCGTGGTGCGGGACGGGACAGTAGTGGAGATGGCTTGTCACTGCGGAGCCGCATCATGTCGTAAGCGCATGTATTAGATATAATCCACAGATCGCAGTTGATTCTTTAAGGTTGATCTTTCTTTCGACCTCTGTACATTAGGCCCAACTGTTTATTTCCGTGCACTGCTTGATATTGATGTGACTTACATTTCTGAGCATCTTTCTGAGTGAATTACTCATTGGCGCAAGCAGTGTGCAACATTTAGGCAGGCTTCTACCACTTCTTGTGGCGAGTGTTCTATAGGACATCAATTCAATTGAAGAATTGTCTTGGCGAGGCCTATGAGTTGAAGTTCTTCCCGTAAATGTCGGCGGTCTTTTCTGAAGACTTCGAACTTTGCCTTTCAGTTTGTTTTATTTTTTTTCTTGCGATGTCCAAATGTAAAATTTGAGGTCAATTATTCATCCCTTACTTATTTTGGTATTTCTGGCTCAGCCTTGTAAACCAATTGATGATAATCCATTCGGATCGTGCTGTAATGTCGAGACTGTAGCCCGACAAGCCTGAAGAACTAATGGTATTTTTCCCGTTCGGTTCTCTTCAAGAAATGAAGCGCTGTATCCTAGGATATTATGAGTGGTATATTGAATACATGTGACAATTAACTTTTATTTGTAGATAACCTGATGTTATAATCTGCAAATGCCTGATACTAGTATCTCATAACATTTTAGAGCTGCATCAGTCGTAGTGGAACCACTAAATTTTTTTATCTGGTAGGCACATTACTTTTGATTAGACATGAATCATTTATGGGCGTTCATGATCCTAATTATTGCTATAATTAAAGATTAATTGTCACTCTCAAATCTAGCATTGTGGATCTTGTGAATTCGGACTACCCATATATAGAACATGTGTGCTTCCCTTCTTGTAAAAAATATTGGTTTTTTTATTTTTTATTAGTAAGATTATTTTTACAATATTGACTTCACCATGATATCTAAAAATATCCAATTAGCTTTGGATCTTTGTGAGGCTTTTAAATCTTGTTCCATTTTTTTTATAATAATTTTAAAGATGGTAGTATCATAAATATATATATTTATTTAAATAGTAATTTAAATAATTAGATAGAAGTAGGGTAATATAAATTAAATCTATAATATCTTTTATTGAAACTTCCTAAAAGTTTTATGATTTTGATTTACACATATTTGTAGTTGATTAGTAGATTAGAAACTTTATCAACAAGTACACTATGTACTACATGTATTGGTAACTTCTAGAATAAGCTAACTATGTGGCATACATATAAATAACTTGATGTCATAGACATACATAGGTATTCTAGTAAATATCTATATAATTAGGTAGGAATAGGTAAAAGTAGATAAATTTCATAAGACCTTTTAGAGAAGCTTTCCAAAAGCTTTATAAATGTTGTTTGATTTTGTATGTATTTGAAGTTGATTGATGGGTTAGAAACTTGGTCAACAAGTTAATCATATATTGATAGCTTGCAAAATAAGCTAACTATGTGCTGCACATATAGAAAACTTGCCTTGCAAATTAAGATATATGTTTTACAAAGTCAACATGTTTTGGAGGTCCTATAGGATATCACCACATAGCTCCTAGTTAAGAGTATATATAGAGGCAAGAATAAAGCCTTCTTTATTCTTGTCAATGCCTTTTTAGTCTTTAGTCTTGTTTCAAGACTTTCGAGTCTTCTTGTTTTTGGCAATAACCATTCTAGTTCAGTGTTATATCATCTTTGAGTAATTTTATAGTTTCTTTCAATGATATAAGAGTGTATTGAAGATTATCTTTTTTCAAGTTTTATATCCTTGATACTTTGACAAGACTACTAATATGTTATTTTTATCTTATTTTAAAAAAGAGTGGATTATTCTACTTCTATTGTTGTGTTTTGAAGGTTGTAGATTATCTATCTTTAAACAAAAAATCTTGTTTTCTGACACTGATTTTTTTCTAAAAGAGAGTGGATTATCCCTCTTTGTTGATTTTTTTTTTTTATTAGAGGTTGTAGATTATTCTCTTTTAATTTAACTTTTTGAATTTGTTTGAGTCATCTATGGAAGAAAAAATTATACAAGCTACTTTCAACAAAAGTAAGAATAGATTTGCAACTATTGCAAATATTCATGAGCTTGTCAATACTATAAGAATAGAAATCTCACATATTTTTAATGTGAATCATGGAAGTATTATACCTACACATATCGAAGAAGTTCAAAATCTACGACAAGAAGTTGTATAGTTGAAGGAAATAAGTAGACCTGTCACGGACACAGAAATATAAACTCGAGATCTAATAAGAAGTTCAAGAAGAACTGGCAAGAACTAGATTAATCAGATGAGAACAACACCAAAGAGGTGAGCTAGAGCTCCAAGAGATGTGTTGTCGAGACTGAAGAACTCTTCAACCTCGATTCCAATATATACTCCTATTTAGGAAGCTTCTCAAACAACTTCTATCAACTAGGAAGCTTCTAGAAGGTTCTAGAGACTTGCTTCTAGAAGGTTCTAGAAACTTATCTCTAGAAGGTTCTAGAAACTTATCTCTAGAAGGTTCTAGAAACTTATCTCTAGAAGGTTCTAAGGACTATGTTCCTAATATCTTCTACTAACTAAGAAGCTTCTAGAAGGTTCCAGAGACTTGTTTCTAGAAGGTTCTAGAAACTTGTCTCTAGAAGGTTCTAAGGATTATGTCCCTAACATCACCCCCTCCTTTAGCTTCGAGGTCTCTGAGAAGCAATGTTGTTGATCAATACCAACGCAAGAAAATGAAGATCTGTCGCATAATGTCTGCAATGAATTCCAACTGTTTTTCACGAGGAAAGTGGTTCATCGGCCCTTGAAGCCAATGGTAGTAGCCCACTCCTTCAACTTCTGACCAAGCATGAACTTCCGTGTCCTCATTATGAAATTGTCCTGTAAACACGCCTTCTAGCTGACCATCGTAAGCAGGCTCGGACTCAAATACAATCACCAGTGATCAGTTACTCGGTATCCTTCGTCGTCGTTGTGGTGTAGGCGGTTCTTCATCTCGGGGTCGCCTTCGTGAGCTAGTCGGTTGAGATAATCTGATTGGCATAGTATCTATCTCTTGGCTATCCATATCAGAAGACCAAACTATGGCTATTGAAAAAATTCTATTTTATCTTGGAGAAAATAACTACATCAAGTACGAATTTTGGTGGTACTCTCCCCATTTCTTATATTCTTGGGTGAGCAAGCTTCAAAAAGAAGCTATCGTCGAAATGGCTTAGGTTTATGAGGATGTTGTTGATGAAACTCTTGTACCTTTTGCGGTGCATTGGCGAGATTTACAGCTAGGTCCCACGTTCGCTCATTAATGTCGTAGCCGCACCAATGAACAAGATACTCCAACTTGTCCCACCTTCGCCGTGAATCCAGTACCTTTTCAACCTCGTATTCCTAGTGGTTCTCAATCTCAATACTAGGTGGCGGACATTGTACTCTTGCAGGAAAAGATGACTCTCGATAAGGCTCTAACAGAGAAACATGAAAGACTGGATGTACCTTTATAGAAGCCGGTAATTCCAAACGGTACGCCATTGGATTGATTTCCTTCTGGATGATAAATGGTCCCAATCTTCGATAGTCCAACTTATCACATAGTCGCTTGGTCTTGATATTTTGTCAAAGAAGCCATGCTTTATCTCCAATTTTGAAAGTAGGTGCTTGATTCTGAAATCTATCTACAGATGCCTTGTAGGATTCTTCAGCTGATTATAATTGAAGCTTCAACGTATTTTGAAGCTCTGATAGTTGTTTCGCAAATCCTTCAGCTGCTGGATTGTTATTTGTTGACGGACTCAATAAATCAAGCTTCGGATGATATCCATAGTTGGAAAAGAATGGTGTGTATTGAGTTGACACATGGAGGGTGTTGTTATATACAAACTCGGCTAGCGTCAGATATGTGGTCCAATCGTCTTGCTAATAGTTGATACTCCATCGTAAGTATTGTTCCAAGACTTGGTTCACCCGTTCCGTTTGGCCGTCAATTTGAGGATGAAAAGCCGAAGAAAGCTTGATATCCACCTTCAGTATCTCAAAGAGAGATCTCCAAAACTTTAATACGAACTGAGTTCCTCGATCTGATATGATATCATCTGGTAGTCCATGATATTGATACACATTATCGAGAAAAAGCCTTGCTGTGACTTCACTGGACGATGTCTTCTTGCAAGGAATAAAGTGTGCCATCTTTGTAAGCCGATCTATCACGACAAAGATGCTGTCAAATGAGTTCGATGATGGAAGGTCCGTGATGAAGTCTATGGAAACTGAAGACCATGGTCGACATGGAATTGGTAATGGCTGTAGGAGTCCATAAGGGTGATGCCGAGGATTCTTGGATCTTGAACAGATGTCGCAGGAGAGGACAAAATCTTTCACATCCTTCCACATTTTGAGCCATCAAAAATCTCGAGAAATAAGCTCCAAGGTCTTGTTGAATCTAAAATGTCTCGCAATTAGAAAATCATGGCGAGATTGAAGAACTCGGAGTCGTGCTGGTCTTTTTGGAATATACAACCACTCTTCAAAGTATAAAAGATCTTCCTCCACCTTGAATTTATCGTCATTGGCACGCTGCTTGATATCAATGGCTACTGAATCTTTAATGGTCACGGCACGTACATGATTCAAGAAGTCAGCATCAATTGACACAATAGTAGCGCAAAGCCAAAATTGCTCTGGCTTCAATTACGTCGTACATTGTTGATCAAACGTTGCTTCTGCAGCCTTTGGTACAAGATACAATCTCCTCGATAAGGCAGTAGATAGTCCTTGCTGCTTTCGAGGTTGATAAGTGATAACAAAATCCAACCTAGATAGCAACATACTCCACCGAGCTTGACGTCGATTTAGAACTCGAGCCGACATGAAATACTCCAAATTCTTGTGATCTGTGTATATGGTCACTGGGTGTGCAGCTCCTTCAAGAAAATGATGCCATTCTTGGAAAGAATCCATTATAGCAAGAAGTTCCTTATCGTGGATCTCATAATTGATTTCAGCAGCAAAGAACTTTCGAGAATAGAATGCAACCGGATAGAGCTTCTTGTCTTCTCCCATTTCTGAAAGTACAGCTCCCAAAGCAAAATCCGAAGCATTAGTTTCTAAATAAAAGACCTTTGTAAAGTCTGGATGTACCAAGATTAGAGCCATAGTAAATGTAATTTTTAGGTCTTGAAATGCCTTTTCCACTAGAGGTCCCCATTCCAGCTTATCCTTGCATGTCAATCGAGTGACTGGAGCAGCAACTTGAGAGTAATTCTTGATGAAGATCCGATAGAAGTTGGCAAAGCCAAGAAAGCATTGTACGTCTCTCACCGTCTTTGGAACCTCCCAGGACATGATTGCTTCCACCTTCTTGGGGTCCATCTTCAAGCCTTCCGTAGTCGCAACGAACCCCAAAAACTCCA